ACCGTGACAAAGAGGAATCACCACATCGCCCTGATCTAGTCACGCATTGTTTCCTGTCATCTGACCCCCCGACCCTGACACTTGTTTAAATGTCAAAGCAGCAGCTTATCACTGCTTTGCCGCCATCACACGGCGAGCATCGCTCTATTCTCCAGCTCCACCTCCTCTCCTCCCCCTCCTGTTATTTGTGTTTAGTTCAGCTCAGTGAGCTTACGGCAAAAAACAACGTGAGAAAAATGACATAGAGTAGAGGTCGGGACCGGTCATTTCTGCCAGGGAGAAAGATTGACAATCAGACTGGGGAAATCCATCAGAGGGGAACAGAGATTGTACCTGCTGACTAACTTATTTACCCTGATGTCCCCTCGGTTTCATTTTAATGATACAACACTTTATATAAAGTAAAGACTCTTCTCATGGTGTAAATATGATGGTAAAATACATCCTTGAATTAGATTACCGGTAGGATTTATTCTGCTCATAAGGTCATTTAAAATTCACGAAAAATCTACCGGACACTCTGTTAAGCATTTTCATATAATTACATAGAACAGAACAGCCCCCTTATTCATTTGAATATGTCCATTGTGGGGACACAGTGGGTTCACAAATAACTGGCAAAACGATGCAAAGTTGTCCTGCAAAAACACGTTTCACTTGCAACATGATGTCAGCTGACCAGGTGCCTTATCAGCCAATCTGATACACACAAGCTGACATAGCTGGCAGATTTATTTGTAAATGGTGAACTACCTGGCAAGTGCCAGCATTGTCAAATTATTTCTTATAGTATTATAAACCTCAGTGCTTGGCATCAGAAAAATGTAATGTATTTTTCTGATCTATTTAAAGATAGTTGTTAAGGTTTTTTAGACTACATCCCATAAAGAATGTGTTTATGTTACAAAATCAATCTGGTCCAGCATGGAGCAGGCTTCACAGGTTCTCCTGGACATATTTGTTGGCGTAAGCTGTACAATAGCGTTTAGATGGCGTCTTAGCCTACAGTTAAAATAACACTGTATGTGGCTACTGTAGGGATGTAAATGTACATATTAATGTACACTTGCATTCCCTCTGTACCAATACACTTTATCTAGAAATCCTTAATGCTTTAAAAGAAAAACGTTTGTTGTGGTTTACTACCTTTTTATATCAGAGGTGTTTTATTTTCTGTGTCGATCAAAGACCTCTGAAAAGACAGAATTGATTGAAAATGAGAAGGATGATAGAAAGCTGGATCACTGTGGATATGTGAGCTGCGATAGTGAGCGTGGGAGTGTAGGCTCCCTGATGTGGAAAAGCAGAAAAACAGTGATGACGCTTATTCCTGTACTTAGAGGTCAGGTGTTGGAGAAATGCGTATTTTGTTGTGCATGTTAAACAAACCAAAAACACAGGTATAGCGCCTACGCAGACACAATCACTTTCACTGCCATACATCTATCTATACTATTCAATGCACGAGTGTGTACAAGTGCTGCAAAGCCCTGTTTGAAGTACCACATCACAAAAACTACACACCTCTCCCATGCACTCCAACACAAAGGGCACACACACTAATCGTACCCCCGCACACACTCCTCATCCATCTGCCTGAGGTGTGTGAGGCTCTGGCTGCAGCAGTGGCCATGCAACAGATCTATCAATCCTCTTCCTAACATCACAGCATGTGTGCCTGCCTGTCTGCCTTTTCTGGCTGCTCTCCTCCACCACCGCACCACGCAGGCCTTTCAATGAGCCTCTCCATCTTGCCAGCGCTAACTCACTCCCTCGCTCCCTACCTTACTCTATGACACACTCATACAGCCTTCCAGCTACACACACGCTCTTTGTGCTCTTGCAAGGGCACAAAAACAGTCACATATAAACTGTGCATGCCGATAAATACTCAAAAATGCTTTGGAAGTTCAGAGAGAATTGAACAGGAAGTTGTGAGAGGGCTTTAGGACTGTCGAGCTCTGTTGGTAAGAGGAGGCTCTTCATCTCTCTTTCTTTTGCTCTCATGCTCCTCCGCACTCTCACACCGCTTCTCTCTCCCTTTTTCTCACTCGATCTCATCTACTATCTATATATCTGTCTGTGGACTTTCACATTTACCACAAAAATACAGCAGAGAGTTGGGGTCTGCATCACAGTCACAGTGATGGATTGAGGATGGCAGAGAAAGGGAATAGATTACAGAAACCCAAAAGCGCTCATTGGCCATCCGTGCCCACAGAGGCCTCTTAAAAGGCAGCGGCTGCATTTGAAATAAAGCAGGGCTGACCGAATGGAGACATTTTATTTTTTTCCTGCCAGAGCCCGGAGGCAGAGGAAATGACCTCAGCCCTTTTAAAGGACCTCCGTTTCTTCCTCCACCGCTGGGAGATAAGGCTGCGTTGAGATTCACCGGCCTGACTGGCGCTCTGCCGCGCCGGACCACCGCACTGACTGCTGGGGGATGGATGAGATGAGAAGATAGTCTCTGGTGGCTTTGTGTTTATTGTTGCTTATTTCTTTGCCCTGTAACTTGCCATCCATTTTGTATGAGGATGTTAAGAAACTCACAAGTGCATTACATAAACTCGCATCTTGAAAGAATGACTGTCTCTTTTAATCATGTGGGTGACTTGATGTAAAACAGGCTCACTTCCTGCTTTGTCCCAACAAATTCGAATCATGTTTGAAGTACTACAAAACGTTTTATTGTTACTATAAAAGCAATGTATATTTTTGATTGAATGCCCATCTGGGGGAAATTAATAGTTCCAATGAATTTGCTGCAATGTCCTTGCAACATGTTCTTGAAATGTGATACTCCTTGCCTTTTGTATGCTGAATACATTTTGCATAGCTGGGCTGCATATGTATCCTCTGTGTGGTGCAATTTAAAAGCCTGTCAGGAGCTTGACCAATGCAATCTGAAGCAGCCCATGCCCTTACCACAAGATCAGCCTAATGGAGAAATATAGGCAATGTTAGATTGTATAAAAACAGATGTATTGCTGCATCAGAGCCTGAGAGGAGTATTGCATGACTTCTAGCATAAGGGCTAATGATGAATGAGGTGACGCTCTCCAAAAAGGCCTGTTTGTCATTGTCATGTGCGTGTGTATCTGTGTATTTGAGTTGGGATGGATGGGGGGGAGGGGAGAGAGAGAGCAGAGAGTGCTTTCTGCATCCGTTATTGGTTTCTCATTAGAGGGCTGAGATATAAACATTTGTCTATGTTGTACACGGTGCTGGCGCAATTAAGGATTCTCTTTGCCGCCCCCTCTGCCCTTTGAAAGTGAATTATGTGCAGATGAGAATCTCGACTGAAATGTGGCCAACAGCGGACCTTTTCCAAATGCCTCATTCCCCTAAAAGCCATTCCAGAAAGAGGCGAGATCATCTGGAGGAGCAAGGGAGAGAAAGTGTGTGCCGTTTCCTGCTTGCATTGCGCATTAATGACTCTAATTAGCAATAGCT